TTTCTAAATATAGGCTTATTAGTTGTCAGTACATGGCTATGAAAACTCTGCTCATGTTACACGGTGTGACAGGAAACAGCCTATCTGATGACATGTAGGAACACCATAATGTTATCTGCTCATTGCATCTCCCAAGAGACCGTGAACCTGTGTGAGATTGCTGCAGGAAATGGAATGAATTAAACGTGTGAAATGTTTTTCTTCATTGCCCTTACAACTACAAGAAACTATGAAACGCTCAAAATATTGCATGTAGACTGCATTTAAAATACTGCAAAGCAATGTGATTCGCTGGAGGTTATAGAGCTGAAATTAGCTGAGATGCTTGATGTGTTCTTAATGTGTGGCCTGTATGTCAGATGGGATGCCCTGCTTGAGTAACAGTAGCAATCTTAGCATAGATAAACAGCCGGGTCTAGTTAGAGGTAGTTTGGGGGGAATTGAAATTATTAAACAACTTATTGAGCAACAAATTGCCTGGGAAGCAGTATTCCCTGCAAGTTCTATGAAACAGCAAATGGATGCAAATGAGTTTAAATGAGCTTCTCACAATTGTCAAACATTTTGCCATTTCTTGCCATTGTCTTTGAGTGTTTTTGTAATTAGAGAAAGTGTTATCACCCTCAGAGCTGGGTGTTCAGGATGTAGAGGATAAACCTCCGTGTGTGTGTGTGTGATCACCAAAAAAACAAGCACCAATGTACAGCTACAGAATCCTTTAGACCTCTTGAAATTTTCTTTTCCTTTTTTGTTTGCTTTTTTTTTAATGCTATGTTTAATAAAAACATGCTTTTAGGTATATTTAGGTTAAGGCTGGACTTGGTGTGTGATTGGAAAAACCTGTGTTTACTTGGACAATACAGACATCAACATTCAACCTATAGGACTAAATTAGGACTGGCATATTTGTTTCCCTGTGATCTATTTTCTGGGAAGGGAAAAATGCATAGGTTACGATGAAAATGTCAGTGTAGTAACTATTCCAAAATGAAAGTGTGACGTAAATGCAGTTTTGTGAAATCAACTGCTGAAAAAAGTGGGTTTTTTTTTTTTTTTTTTTTTTTGTTCTTACAGCTCCTGCCTTGAAGAACTTACATTCAGTGCAGAGAGAATAGAAATATTCTATAGTGCATATCAGGTACATTTCAAACAATGTTGCACATATTAAATCTTTTTTTTTTAATTTTAATGTGGTGTTGAAGTTGTGGCAGACTCACAACACAATGATGCTTGTTTTGTTTTACAGAAACATAAAAAAGAACTGGGACGTCTATTAGCAAGGTAAGCCTGAGATGCCTGGTGCTTGGAACTGTCAGAGAGAGAGAGAGAGAGAGAGAGAGAGAGAGAGAGATTTGTGGAGGTGATGTTATTTTTGAGGTGAAAAGGTTGTTTTACTCAGACTGATCATGTCCTCGAGATGACACCGGAACACCAATAAGATGTTTTTAAGATCTATGTTTAGCATTGCAGAATTATTACCGATTTTACACATTCATGGTTTATTGATGATTTCAAGCTGGAGGTCATAATTTGTCCAAATTTTATTCGACTCTACAAAACCATTAATGACATCAGATGTGGAGGAAAAAAAGGCAGGGGTGGACATAAATAAATATCATAGTTTTGACAGGATGTTTGAGAAAAAAAAAAAAAAAGGGTTTGAAAAATAAGGGGAGGAGCAAGCAGCTCAGCACCAAACAGAGAGGGTCTTTCTGGATTTGCGTGTCAGGTCCAAAAGGATGAGCAGCGTGATTTAATGCAATGTAAATGCTGCTTTATTGACGCTCCATAAACAAAGGTTCTTTGTGACCACAAGTGCCACAATGTCTCCAGACTGATTTGAAAACAGTTGCAGGCAAATTGTCTAATTCCAATAAACAGAGAAAGCCTTCTGATCACTCACAAATATTTTAGCAGACACACAACTTTGGAACATGTGCGTAAATAATCTGAAATCACCGGTTTATTACTGTCTAAATGCTGAGGAGATACAGTTCAATTTCTGCTTCTCCTTCATCAGTTTGAGCCTTGGCTTGCCTCTGCCATGAAGTGCAGCCGTTTTAGATTTATGACAATTAATAAAGTGATATATATATGAATCCTTGCTCGTTTTCTCTATGATCCCTCAAAAAGCAGATACAACAATGTATTTTGTCTTTCTCCTGTAGCATAGGAAGGCGAGCACCTCAGATTAACGACGTTTCATGGCGTCTGCAGTACCACACGAAGGTATATCAGACACTTTCTGGAGCATTTATTTGATATATGTCACAAAATATCTAAGTTTACTAAAAATGTTCTTCCCGACAGAACGGACAGGTCGATAAGGTCAACGAGCCTTTCTACTCGATTTCACTGAACGCGGAGGTAACTCTCAAATCCAGCTGCACTTTTCCACACACACACTCACACACACGCACACACGCACACACACACACACGCACACACACACACCTCCACTTCCACGGCTTTTCCTGCATGTATGGGTGTGTTTCTGAGGGTAAAACAATGATCGTGGTTTGTTCCTTTGTTAGAACGAAGGATCCTCGGAAGATATCAACTTCACTTGCACAGTGGAGCAGCTACAGGTATGGGAAATGATTGTACACACTTGCTTGTCTTTTGTGGACGTCAAACGGCATCTGCTGCTCATCTGTTAGTGTAATCCCACAGTCGGACTTTCTTGCAGTTGCGCCTTTACGCATCACATTCAGCCTCCTTATCAGCAAACAAAAATGAAAGAGGGAGACTTGTTGAGCTGATTGCTGTAGGGTACTTTTCTTCTTCAAACAGTGCATCTCCCAAACAAATTACACGTGTTAAATTTTTATCAGTGTATCTGCGAGTTCCACATAATAAATGAAAGGACTACTGGGAACTTCCTGCACATAAAAGGGAACAGTCCATGTCTTTGGATGTGGTCACGTTGCTGCACCCAAAATAAATAATAGGCTACAATAAATGGGTCTTACAGAAGCTGAAAGATTTGTACTGATGATGATGCATTAAGCTGACCTATGAAGAAATGTATCACTATTGCTTTTATAAAATGACAAAGTTCCCTACATTCGCCTGTTTAACGTTGCACTGATGTGTGGGCTGCAGCCAGATTCACAACAGTTGGTAAATTCAGTTCGGGACGTCACCTTCAGGCTCAGTGACTCTATCCAGACTCAATTTAAAATTCTCAACACAGACTAATTTAGTCTAAATCTTATTTATACTGAGGTTAATTCTGAGCACTTTTTTCCAGTGAATATTTTAGTTTATCTCTGCCGGATACGTTGCTGCGTTTTTTTTTTTTTTTTTTTATTCCCAGTGAATATAACCAGTGGTTCCTTGTTTTCAGGATTTGGTGGGAAAGTTGAAAGACGCTGCCAAGAGTGTGGAGAAAGCCAGTCAGATGTGATGCCGGTGTCCAGTTTCCTCGCCCTGAACTTCACCGGTTTCCAGCGGCATTGCTTCCTCTTCTTCATTTTCTAACTTGATTTGTGCCTGAGATTGACATGACATGTATGAGACAATTATCATTCCAAATTGTGTTTCAATTAAAACCGAAAAATAAAATCCTCCTTCTACTTTGATTTCACACCTTGGTTTGTTCACACAAAAACACAGGTCCATTGTGTTTTTAAGAAATGTCCTTTTGGTGAGAAGTATTTTAAATAAACAAACCTGATGTCCTTGTTATATTGTAGATGTGTCAGAGAGATGTTTGAATATGGAGCCAGTAAAGTAACTGGTAGGCATGTGTTTTGTCAGCACTTACACCACCCTGAATAGGATTTTTGCCATAGTTGCGTGACAGCAGTGTGTAGGCTATTTTGTGTCCTGCAGCATTTGCTGCAACAAGAGGCTCAGTCCTGTTTTTTCCAGAGGACTCGGGCTGATGGGAGCTATTTTTAAAAGACTACAAACATAGATCTTTGACTTTGTTCACTATAAAAAAAAAATATACAGTCCCCCTTTTTCGACTTTCTCCTGCTTTCTGCTTTCACCTCAGCTGAAAGTTTTCAGCTCCTGAGCTGAAGCACCACAGCGGCTCAGATTCCATAAACATCCGCGATACCTTCATTTTCTGCGGCGCCGGCTGAAGGATAAGGGCTCCAATTCATCAAGTGGAAGTTGAGGCGCATTTCTTTCTTTTTTTTTTTTTTTTTTTTTTTTTTTTTTTGCAGATGTCAGGACAGCCTGTGACAAAGGTTTGACACCAGAGCCATTTGTCACATGGACGTATTTTAACCAAGTGCGTGGGTCTTGAAAGCAACGACCAGCAGAGATTAATAAGGCAGCTGCGCGGTGCTCCAATAGACTTCATGTTGAAGTGAGTGCATTGAGGCATTTTTGACGGTCAAAACGACACGAACGTGTGTGAGTGCGTGTGCTGCCGTTATTTTTAACATCAGAGAGGCGAGGGCACTCCATCAGCCGCCTGGTCTACTTTCTACATGCCCCTGATCATGGAGCTCTTGGAGCCAGGATATATCAGCGCCTTTAATATGGCTTTACCTGATGAAAAGTGTAACAAACTAGGCTACATGAATGTGTGGTAGCCTATGGCTTATTTAAAATCATGCGTCATACATTAGAAAGAGCAGAATTCACCGACAGGAGTTTTTAGGCGCCTTTAAGCAGCTGCCCGGTCTCATATCAGCTCAAATAAAGCACAAGCTGCTGAGTGGTTTATGGGATTTAGTCGTTAATAACATATTCATATGTACATGCGTGTGTTTTGTGTGTTATTTTATATCGTGCGTAGTAGATCATGAGAAACAGAATACACCGACAGTAATTCCTAGGCACCCTTAAGCAATGAGACCACGTGACCAAAGCGGGGCGGTCGAACTACAAGCCATTTTGGGGACGGTGTCAGTTTCCACTGAGCACACACACACTGCTGCATATTACTGGGGGTGAAGCGAATGTTTTGGAGGCAAAGTTATCGGTGCTGAAGTGGGAACCTTTCCGAGCCGAAGCCGGGGGAGCGGGCTCTTGTGAAGCCGCAGATCGGATACGCACACGGCGCATACGCGGAGAGGAAAAGAGGAGTTTTTATTCGCACATCTGAAATGCGCTCTGGTCCGCCGTGCGCTCTCCGCCACTGACAGCGTCTGCAGCCTGCTTCAAGATGGCGGCTCGGCTCCTATTCATTTTCTGCTGATCGCCTCCCAACTTTCATTGTCTATTCGCCTCAAGACCCACCGATTCCCAGCCGAGTCTCCAGGTATGTCTTATTCGATATCGTCTCTAACTAACGGGGGCAGAAGGGGAGGTTTGGGGTTTGTGCTTTTGTGTTTTTCTACGCACCGATCCAGCGGTGGATGTGGAGCTTTCAACGGTGGCTGCAGCGATCACCGACGTGGAGCTCCGTGTGTGTCTGCGCACCACTTTTTTTTGCAAAAGATGTTCCCCGCTCGGGCACAGACGTGAATTAAGATCCACGCACACCCTCAGTTGCATTATCTACTCCTCAGTAACGTGTCCGTATAAGTTGATAGCGGTTGGGGTTTGTATTGCGTCGTTTGGATTTAGGTAAAGTGGGAGATCTCAGGCGAACCAGGCTGGGTTGGCTGAGATGTTAACAGTAGCAAGTGCTCCAAACGGTCCTTCTATGCTCCTGTGTCCATACAGCGTCCTCATGTTATAGAGTTGAGATGTCTGGGGTGTTATGAACTGGGTGTTATGTTGGTTTTGGGTGATAATGAGCAAATGTTGGATTTATTAACTTAACTTGGATTGCTCCCACGAACGTGACAAGGAGGCGAACCATTTCAATTGTGCATAAATGTTTCATGACTGCTTCTTAGGAAACGCTGGATCGCTGTTAAACACGCACCGTGGCTGCTTATGTCTTGGTGTATGATTATCTGGATTAAGAGGGATGGTTGAGTTTTTGAGAAATTAAAAAAAAAAAAAAAAAAAAAAAAGTAGCCTATGGGCGACTCGTCGGCCAGGATACAAAGGGCTGGCTGTGTCTCACCAAGCAGCGACAGCATCGGTAAATTCCCTTAAATTCACACGAGCTGTGTCCAGCATAGACTGTTTATTGACACTAAAGCTCATTATGGATTTCTATATTTTCTCTTCCATATATTGAATGCTGGTGCATTGTGTGAGTCAGGTCACACAGGACTGACAGACAAGGAGCCAAGGCTTTTCCCTCAAAGTGGGGGAAAAATTATCATTTTACCCATGAATGCTGTTGGGGACCCTGTGTGTGGTTAATGGTTTAAAATTAATGTATTTCACCCCCCCACCCCCCCTACCCCCTCCCCTCAGCCGGGACTGCAGGTTGACAGCCTCACAGGTCTGTGAATAGAAGTGATAATGTAGCCTAACAGACTAGATGGCTTACAGTGTGTAATGAGAACCACTCAACACACTGAATAAAAGTTATTCCTTTGTATTGACTTTATTAAGTTTCAGTCATATGGGCGATTAGGAATCTCCACTTATTTAATTCACGCTTTTCTCGATTCACTGACAGCGGTTTAATATGAGCTCTTGGTTTTTCCCATTGCCGATTTTAATTGGGTTATTTCCAGCTGCTGTTGATTTAAGTGTAAGGGGAACCTTTACAAGAGGAACTGGTCTCGTTTGGGAATAAATGAGGTGGGCAGCACTGTGGGTCACTGCACGAGCCCAGAGAAATCTCTAAATTTGTTGTTGCTTTATTGAGAGAATTAAAGGTTCAGTAGCTGCTCTGAATTAATTAATGATATCATCACTGAGCCTATAATTAAACGTAGCTATCCATTTAAAAAGAAGACGTGTGGTGTATAGTTTACATCTATGTGCAATCAACGTTTCTATATTCAGAGCTGAATCCATCATGAAAATCCTGAACAGACCTGCTGTATAGCGTTTGTTGCCTGGTGCTGCAGCAGCCATTCAGCAGCTTTCGTTCCCACCATGAATGAACTTTATTTGGGTTTGGATTTATGGAGTGATTGACTTGAAGTCTTATAAAGTGAGCACGCAGCTCCCTGAGGACAGAAGGAGAGCAGTTGTCCAAACACCAGTCAATCGATTAATGGCGCAACAGGCTCCCCTGCATATATGTGGACATTATCCATCATTATCCATGTGTGAGGCATCCTTTGAACTGAGTCGCTGTCCAAACTTGCCTGCAGTGGTCTGTTCAGAGGCGGCCAGGAGAGGTCGGTTGGAGCATTGAAACCGGCCGGGACTCGGGCACGGTGCCGGCTGGGGCTCCATAAAGTAACAGTGTGGGTTCAGAGCTGGGCTGCCTGGCTGTCATCCAGCGTTTAAAGAGGGTCAACTCCTCATGTCCAGTCTAAAGGCTGCATTTAGACTCTTAATGGCTCTGTTTTTATTTCTTCAAATGACAGCAATGGGCGCCCTGATAGTCGTTAAAGCACAGCCTTTATTATTATGCGCCGGCGCGGACGATTGTTTTCCAACCTTCCAGGATAAATTTACCTCATGGCTCATAAATATTGGAGAAAATGAGAAACCGATGATACTTTTTCTCTGGGTGACTTGTTTCACTGACTGAGCTTTTTGTGACTCAACAGAACCGGGTTTTGTGAAGTTAAAAGCCCATTGGCACAAAGTAGGCTACAGGCAAGGGTGGCGTTTAATAAAGTCTCCGCGTGTGACTTTATCCGACAATGGCGCAGAAATAAATAAGTGTCGATCCAGTGTGCGCTTCAACTTCAGCGCAGTCGCTGCTGTCTGGCCATGTTGGTGCTGCACGGTGCTGGTTATCGCACACACGCCATGAAAAACACGGCGCAAAGCGAACGAGAATAAAGCTGAGGTTATTCTCAGAGTTGGACACACACACGCGCGCGCGCGCGGGCACACTCCTTCTTTGTGGTCCATAAAGATCTGGGGAACGTGTATAAACGCGTCGGATAGTGGCTTTATTGGCCCCCTTTCGAAGGAATCCCCGCAGCCCGTTGAACCGATACGGGCTTTTTTTCCTCCACAAAATGGCAGCCGTGCTGTCGGCAGCCTGGCAGTCCAGCCGCTGTCTTGTGTGCGCGGAGGGGACGGGGGAGCCTCCGGTCCCTGCCTGTTTCCCGCTCTGCACACCGGCAGCTCGCCGTGTTGTTGTTTTGGTTTGACATCCTGCCTTGTTCTGGTCACTGGCGATCAGCCATGTGGGCTAAAAAGCAAAAGGAGTTGCCATAGAAACGCTCAGGTTTCCCCACCAGCCTGTGTGGCACACCTGACGCAGTGAACTGGTGTCTCCTATCATACCCCCCCCCCCTCACCACCCCCTCCCCCTTTACACCCACCCTCAGCCCGGGGCGCCGCTGTCCCCGTGCCTGGTATTAATTTCCACCAACATTTTCCAATTTCGGTAAAATGTTTGGTTATAAACTGAAGCTTTCACCAACAAAATCAGTTTTTCTCAGAGATAAAAGACGCAGATTCCTGTGATTCCCCTAAAGCCTTTGACGCTGTATTGCTCTGATTTGTTTTATTTTCAGTACGTTCTCACAGGTTTCTGTCAGAGAAGTCTCGATATTGGTTTTCTAATTTAAAATTAAAGCTGGACTCACGCGGGCGGGTGAAAGTGCCATGCTACGCATTCAAACACCTAACTATCACACCCATCCGATCTGGCAGATTCGATTGAGTCCAAATGTGGAGATATGAAACCTGCGATTTTCTGCGCCATTACTCATTTTTGGAACAGAGAAACGCTTTGATCTGAGCTTGTTTCGTGCTGATTGCCAGGGCTTGCGCTGTTCCTCTGATGCTGATTTAAGTTGAACGGAAGGAGAGGAGCGCGGAGCTCCATCGATCTCTCTGTAGAAGTGATTGATTTATATTTATTCACCGCGCCTCTGTCAGGTGACTCCGTGGTGCTGCCGCCTATCAATCTGCCACCGAGCACCTTCCCCTTTTGGTTATTATTGGATTAGCATAAAAGATGATGTTGCTTTAACACAGTCAAACAAACAGCAGCCTTTTCCAAATGGTCTGCCTCGCGCTGTAAAAGAAACCTGCAGCTCCTCTGATGCCTCCTCGCCTGCCATGCACGTATTGTTTTGACTATATCTGTTTTGTTTTTTTGTTTGTTTGTTTTGTTTGTTTGTTTTTCCACGCAGGATTGTTGTTCCTTTCTCTCACCATGCATCGAACCACCAGGATAAAGATTACTGAGCTCAACCCTCACCTCATGTGTGTCCTGTGTGGAGGATATTTCATAGACGCAACCACCATAATCGAATGTCTTCACTCATGTAAGCAAGCCCACAGAAACAATGGCTCTACTCTGGTTGTGGAGGGAAAATGAAAACATGGAAATGTCACCGCTGATAGAATGTGTTGCAGGAAGTTATTCCTTAAAGGAGTCTTTCTTACATATTTTCCCTGCACATATACTTTTATTTCAACTTTTTGCTGCTGCAGTGTTAATGCTAAAGTGATTTCTCATTAGCAACAAGCCCTTAAACCAGATTTACCAATAGCCTATCAGTTTAGATTCAGGATATCCTTTCAGAAGAAATCTGATTTTGACTTTTTTTTTTTTTTCCTTCTTTGTCTATCGTTTGCAGTCTGCAAGATGTGCATTGTGCGCTACCTGGAAACCAGCAAATACTGTCCCATCTGTGATGTACAAGTGCATAAAACAAAGCCTCTCCTCAACATTAGGTGAGAACTATAGTTACTGAATTCTTTGCCCCATGTTGCATCTTTTTCCCTTTGTTTTTAAATGTATTTTGTATCTATTGTTAGGCAAAGGTAAAGGTATCTTTTCTTAGTTTTGTGGAGCAAACAATCTTTGTTTCTCTTGTGCCTCGTCATGGTTTTACTTGCTGCACATTAGAAGGTTTTGTAAATACTCTTTCTCGTATTTAAAGAATTTATTTTCATGCATTTGTAATATTCAGCAACCATGACAAAAGTTTGAACATTCTTTGTTTCCTGTTTCTCGCCTTTTGTGGTTTCCCCCTTTGTTTCTCCATTGAACAGCTGGATCAGCCAGTAATCGGTTTAAAATATTCAGACATAAGGAACACTTGCAGACCTCTTGTATGATATGTGTGCGATTTCCCACAGCCTTTAACAGCAGCTAAGGACGTCTGTGTGTTACATACAGTTGTATGTGTGCTGTAATGCAATAACTTAGGAGTATTTATCTCCAAGCACAGCATTTACAAACAAGAAAACCAGCTTTTCAGTCGTTAGCTGTCATTTGTCTTTTTATCCAAACGCTTAGTTGAACATGAATAATACAACCATCTGTATCAGTTCATCAGTCTAGTTTTCAGTGAAAACGTTGATGTATCCAGTATCTCAGTGACATGACTGAAATCTCTCTTCCTCTCTAGGTCTGACAAAACTCTACAGGACATTGTGTACAAACTGGTCCCCGGCCTCTTCAAAAGTAAGAACATGACTGTGAAACAGCCTCTGCATCTCACGTGTCATTTTTACTTTCATTCTGACTCTGTATTCACAAATATTCTCTAGATTTTTCTGATAAGCTGTTTCCTACAGTATTGCACCGCTACAGCCACTGCATTACACACCCCTGTAAGTCAAAAGTAAAGACATAGGATCATATAGAAATTACAAATAAATATGTTTTGATATGGATGCACTTTATTGTTTAAAGCTTGTTTTTTCAGGCTGGTGAGTGTTTAGAATATGTCATTGATCCGATGCTGTACTTTCTGAGGTGATACATGCTGTTATCGTATTGTTTTTGTTACCTTGTAAAGGACTGCTTTTGTTTTGTGTTGCACTGTATATGCTGTTGATAAAACCTGTCAAACTAGGTCCGGCAAAACTCCTCTTGTCACATTGCCAAGTCTTACGCGTTTGTTGCACTTCCTGAAGGTAGAAAGTTATGATAAAATGGAAGTGGGATGTATGTCTGGTTTTTTTAGGCAGAGGCTATTTTTGCTGCATTGAAATAATCCATAATGTAATGTATTGAATCAAACCATTAACTTAGTCAGTTATTACATCAGTACCACTATTCTGATGTAATTTGTCCTGTTGTGTCGAACAAACGTGCTCCGATTTATTGCTGCAAATCACATGGAGAAAAAACAGAGCACCAACAAATGTTGGTTCGTACAGTATTTTCAGCTTTAAAATGATATTCCTGTGTAACCTGAAAATAGACAGACTTGTAATGGCTTTCCTTTCTGGATGTCCTCAGATGAAATGAAGAGGAGGAGAGACTTTTATGCGGAGCACCCTGTAGATGGTGAGTTAGAAACCACGTATTGATGGTCCAATTTCCACTTGGTCACCACAGTGAAGATGAAAACAAAATTTTCCTACTTTTTGGGTGAAAACGATGGTGTTAATTTACCGCTTATCACATGCTTTATTGTAAAGTAGCGTTCCAAAAATATTTCTTCTTCTTTTTTCTTCTACTTTTCTTTTTTTTTTTTTTTTAAACTTCAGTTTCAGTATAGTCACAAGCCCGTCCACATGTGTGTTTTTCTGCAGCTTCAAACGGATCGAATGAGGATCGGGGAGAGGTGGCAGACGAGGAGAAGAGAATTATTACTGATGATGAGATCATCAGCCTCTCCATTGAGTTCTTTGATCAGAGCAGGTAGGCTTCGCCTCTGTGTCCATATTAAAGCAAGTGATTATTTGTTGCAGTAATATTGTTGCAGTGCTACTGTTAATTCTATATATTTATCTTGAAATGCTTGTTCTTAACAGGCTAGAAAAAATGTCATATGCTCCAATGCATTGTGTTTGCATATTATAGAGTTATTCTCTTAGACAAGATACTGCATTAGAAAGGATTAAGTCCAGCCAGAATTATGGTGTTATTGAGTGTTTATGGACACATCCCTGACGCTGGATCAACACACAGCAGGTTATGTCACCCTCCAGTTCACAGTTCCAACTGTCCACAATATATTTCACTTTTTTACTTTGTTTTTGGTTTTGTTCACCTGCGTACTTACCCTCCCATCCAGACTTTATGAAATCATGCCAAGAGATTATTCATTATTTTACTTTATTTTTTCGCAATTTACCAACTTCTTTCAGACACAGGCAATGTCCTTGCAATACTCTATGAACATCATAACAGCTGTAGACATGAGTAGTAAGCTACAGCTACTTCATGTGTCAAATTTAGTTTGAAGGAAAAAAGTAATATTTGTGGGAAGAAAATAGTAAAGCAATTAAGTGTCCTTCTCATTCAAGCGGCTGGTTCTGTAGATCACGTGATGTCCACAAAATCAAATTTTAGATTTTTAGATGTAGTTTTTTTTTTCTTTTTTAAAATAATAATGCAATGTTGTTATTGTATTCAATATGACATATGGACATGAAAAACATGAATACTGCTGATCTTAATATTTTTGCCTTTAATTCTGTGCAGACTGGGAGGTGGAATGGAGGACAAGCAGTGTAAAGATCAGGTACTGCAAGTTGATTTCGGCCACATTCTTTCTCAGCATTATTTTTCTCCTATTAACATCCTTTTTAACCAGGTAAAGATGAAACGTCCTGCAAGCTCCTTTTCTTTCAGCAACTAATGAATATTTAGTTTGCCGCCTCTGCTGAAATCTGTAGACAGTGTTGCTTTCTCCTGAGAGACAACTAGATGGTTTTTTGTAAAGCAAATTCTGTTTCTGATTTTAAGGTGGACCAGCCTGTGTCCTCCGTAACAATTTAGATGAGTAGTCACTTTATATCAATATACATTTAAACAAATATGTATAATTTTGGATGTACATAATCTGCAGGTGGCTAACAAGAGGTACCTGCAGTGTCCAGCAGCCATGACAGTCATGCATCTGAGGAAGTTTCTGCGCAGCAAAATGGACATCCCAAATGCCTACCAGGTCTTTTTTGATCTTTACTTGTTTATTCATCGACAATATTTGTGAATGTAAATTTGTCTTTTCAAGAAAATTGTGATATCAAGACTCATTTTTCAGTGTCTTACTTAATTGCAGTTATATTTAATGTTTTATTGTTTTTTCTTTTCTCTCCAGGTTGAAGTCATGTATGAAGATGAACCTTTGAAAGATTACTACACATTAATGGATATAGCATATATCTACACTTGGAGAAGGGTAAGACTTTTCTGGGCAAAGGGGAGACTTGATTTGGTTTATTCAAACTGCTGCTGAGTCCCATATCCTAAATGTCCTTATTGACCAGTTATTAAAATGTATTATAGAACTGATAGTTTTAAGTCATGTACTTTGTCAGATAAGTTTTGTTAGAATCATGTCCATCTTCATCCGATGGATGTGGATATAATGTAATAGCCTATCTTGTGATTTATTGTTCAAAACTGCTACTATTAACAAAAAATTGTCACTCCATTTTTAAGAGACTTAAAATTACAGCACTGAATATGCAATCAGGTTGTGTTTAGAATTCATTTTGTGCTTTCCCCAGTAAATACTGTACATTGAAACACATACATTTAATTTCATTGTATTGGCACCAATTGCTGCAGTTTTGATAAAGCATAGCCTATAATATATGTGTGTGTGTGTGTGTATATATATATATATTTTTTTTTTTTTAAATATCGGTTTCCACCTCTTTAATGTCTGGTGTCAAAAATATTATTTTTTAGTTATAGTTTTTACATGAAATACTGACTGACAGGAGGCTGCTGAATAGGAAAGAGTTTATTAAGCCTAATTAAACTGTTATTTAAAATAGTATGAAATGTTTATTATCGCCACCACAGAACGGCCCGCTGCCCCTGAAGTACCGAGTCCGACCCAACTGTAAGAAGATGAAGGTGAGCCACGCGCAGCAGGAAGGCCAGAACAGCGCGAGCAGATCCGGACCAGAGAGCGACTCTGCCAGCGACAAAGCCGGGAGTCCCGCCGGGGCTCCGTCCACGTCCTCATCACTGCCGAGCCCCGGCACACCAGCTCAGTCCCCTCACCCGCAGCTCCCACACGGCCCCAATAACGTCAACGGGACCCCAGCCGCCGCCCCTTCGACCCCCAGCCGGTCCTTTACCCAGTTCGGCAGCGGCGGAACCAAGCCCCGGAAGGTTTCCCTGAACGGCTCGTCGACCTCTTCCGGATGACGCGGGGCTCCGGACCGGACCGGACCAGCCAACGCCAGACTCCCGCTCAGCTAATACTGTTTTCATGCCAATGTAGTTCCATTGTGTAGACAATGTTATCTCTCTTTCTCTCTCCATTTGTTGTTATAAATATTACGGCATCATATGTAAGTTTAAACGTAGTGGAATCGGAGACATTTCAAAATAAAATGAATGAGGAAGTTGGGTGGCGTGGGAATTTTAATAAGAAGGCAAATTTTGATGTTGGGGGAGGGGGGCGTTGGAAAGCAGAAGGACAGGCATTTACCCCCTTTTTAAAGCTACATCTTTATTTTACAGAAACGACTGAAGATAGTCTTTTATATTTTCTTTTACGTTTTTCAAATTCAGCGTGTTTATCATGAATATTTCATGTGTGTTGGGATATTTTGAAACTGTCAGTTTAAACATGCATGCTCATGAGAACACTTTTCTTTTAAGAGAGAGGATCCCGCGTGTTTATCTCACAAGTTGGACGGGTTTTTGGAAGCTTTTCAGGCATCAATCTTGTTCCAATGAAAGTTATAGGCTAAATACATTTGTATAGCGCTGTTGGCTTCACGGAAAAATGCCTATGGAGGAAAAATCAACTTTACTTTGCCTTTTACTGAAAAAAAAAAACTTTCTTGTAGCTGCAGTGGAATCGGATTGCTTATCCCCCACGTCGTTAGCACGTTATAAGCAGTTTTAGAGAATCCACGTGTAAATAGAAACAAAATGCATATTTAATCAGCGATGTTCTTATCCCCCTTTGTTCTGAAGGAATGACTTGGGCTCCTGTTCAGCTCCATTTCATGCTCAGTTGACAGATGTTTTGATGTCTCCCGTGTTTTCCGTATTTGTATCGCTCGATTGTATGGACAACTTATTGTATTGTTACTGTTGCACAGTATAAAACATCTAAATAAAACATTTTACACTTACGGAAGAAGTCAACTCGGTTTTTTTTTTTGCGCCGGAAGCTCATTGGTCAGTCTTTGGTTCTCCATGAAATGAATAAAGGAATAATTGATGGGGGCAGACGGTGCAAAGCGCCAGATGTCTGTCTGAATCAGCGCTGATAGATAACTGAGTTAGGCAGGCAGCTCTGAGCAGTCAGGAGGAGGAGATCTGGCCCGTGATCAAATCATGTTTCTGAATAGGCTACATTCAATTAAGATGGAAGCCTTTATCATTGTTTTGTATTGATGATTTATCACACGGGTAACTGCATTTCTCTGCACTGAAATGAAACAGTTTTAATGGAAAATTTAAAATAATATGAAAAATCGAGACTTATAGTCTAATTTGTCTACGAGTCAATAACTTCATTATTTTTCATTCTAAATTTCAGTCTCAAGTGAAGCTGACATTTGCTGTTTGTGAAATCATTAGGCTAAATGTAAGGCATTTTAAAAGTAGACCACTAAACCAACGATTTTTAACGAATTAATAACAATTTCATATAATTCAATTTCCTTTTTTTCAAAATCTTGTGAATTAGGCTAATTATGAAAAGTAAAAATCCAGAAATGTACACACCTGTGATGTTTAAACCACTTATCTGGAGGACCCTACAAAGATTTGTTAATCAAAGTTTTTCAATAAAACCAGATTTAACCTTAATCAGTAAACCAGGCGTGGAGCAGAATTTAAGACGGTGTATAGGTACTGTGGTAAACAGATGAAAGAAAAAAGTACATTATGCTGTTAGTGTATTAACATTTTATTTTGGAAACAAGGTTTCACAGAATAGCTTAATTACTTCCAAATGTAAAGTAGGCTAATAAAACGAAAATATTGCTTGTTCAGATTTAATATATTGTACAGTATATAGTATCTGCCCACTTGCGGCTTAGCTTACCCTGAGCGATAACAAGATTCATTTAATGTAATTTGATAATTACCTCTCTCTAAATCCACAACAAAACAAAAGTAAAAACTAAAAAAATTGAGAAAATAAAATAGAAAATGAACACAAAATCTTAGTATGATCCGATTTCACAGAAAAATCTTAAGGTGTTGGTGGGTTTAAAATTTCTTTTGAATGACATAGCCTATATTGGAATACCTTTAAATAGGCTAGTTGTTACGGAAATTGTGGGGGGAAAAATGTAGCGAAGACATCCAGCAATAGGCTTTGAAAAAATGAATCGCCTACCTTGCCACCTGAATCGGACCTTAAATAGACTATCTTTCACTCCGCTGTTCAGTTGTAGAATAACATTACCAAAATGTACAGTGTTATGTCTGTGTGCCAGATTGGACCTGTTTTTGTTCATAATTTTGAAATATGCTATTTGCTCATAGGCTTTATGCTGTTATCATCGTTGCCTCTATTTTTCTTTTATCTACTTTTTTTCTTTTTATACAATAGGGTATAATATAGGGTAGGCTACTATCAACGGAAAGAAAGCGTATAGTGTTTGCATCGATCGCATTTCAGTGACATTTTATAATTTTATAATGATAATGATAAAGTCTACTTAGGCCATATCACTCCTTTTAAACTGGGTTGACAAAATGCTTACGAAAATAAGAACTCCTCCAGAGAGCTCATTAGAGGACACACTCCTCCAGCAGCCAAGTCATAAAAAAAAATCATTATGAAAGTGTCAGCTGAACATCTACTCATATCTGGAATCGGCGTTTGCTGTTTCTTTCTGAATCGGTATGATTAATGATGTTGTGAAAGTGTGAGACATATCCGCGGTTGTCTTTCAGCGGGAACAAAGGGCTGCACTAACTGATCTGAGGAATCAGAGCTCTCACTCTGCACATATTTCCGGGCGGAAAACACGAACGCATGTGCGGATCAGAGAGCAGCGGAGTGATTCATCTCGGCTTAATAGACGATCTTCGTTAGGCGCTACAGATCATTCGGTTTCCTCTATGTTGCCAAGGCAACACTTAACAACAACACCACCTAACCAGGACCTGGATACGAGTGGGAAAAACGCTACACTGACTCCTGTGATAAATTCAGTGTTTATTTCTGTAATTTTCGGTGTGAAAATAACTTTGTAAAGAGGCATTTTTCATCAGTGTAACAATGAGTCAACGACATATCATTCAAGGTGAGATTCGTGGGGTGTTTTGATCCATAAATCATGAGAATAAGCTGGCGTGGCGTTTCACACTGAAATCCTGCTCTGTTTGTGCTTTGCAGTTTTCGAGCAGTATCAGAAAGCAAGGATGCAGTTTGTGCAAAGTGTTGCTGATCTGACAGCCAGACCACAAAACGTAGAAATCCTTCAAAATGCAGGTAAGAAACAAAGTTATAAATAAAGCTAGACAATGCAATTTCTGGTGAAACGGCGGTGGGGTTACAGGCTCATGACAGCTGACAAAGGTCTATCTATTTTTCCTGACTAAAACTGTAGTGAAACATATTTTCAGTGAAAACTGTTGAAATCATTGTCTTTTATTTAGTGTAGGAGCAGCATGGAGCTGGACTTTGACAGAAATGTCAGAAAAGCGGTTGATAAACGCCACAGAACTAATCAGCTGATTTGAATCAGCTGTGTTTCTCCCCCTGCACTAAGAGGTTGCCGTTGTGATCTTAATTGCCTAGTTTGTACGGGGTTTCAGTTGAAATATACCTCTCAAACTCAGGCTTACCAGCTTACAACTGATAGATAGATAAATACCTAGATAGATGGATAGATACTTTATTTATCCCCTAGGGGAAATTCAGATGTCCAGTAGCTCATTAGTAATAATAATAATAATAGTTAATAATGAATAATAAACAATAATAGCTATATTAGTCCAGTTCATGAGACACTTCCTTTGACTGAGGTGTTATATGGCCTGAGCCAAAGGAAGTGGCTCATGAACTGGACTACCATTTATTTATTATCATTATTATTACATATTTCGTTATCACATAAAAGTATATATATTCTCAGAGAGGAGAGTCTGCCGAACGCAGTGATATAGAATATTTGTCCCTTTGATACCAGAAAATGTGGCATGTGCAACGATTTAAAAAAAAGCCCTGCTTTGTGTTTTCCTCCTGATTTTTTGCTGTCATTTTACATTAGAGTGAATAGGGCAGTTGGATGGTACTCCTGCCACTTTGAAAGGCATAGTTCAAATTCTGTGACTACCTGTGCTTTGGTAGTCACTTTGTATGAAAGAGGACAAATTTGCCTTATTTCTGGGAAGAAATTATGTGTGAAGAGTGAAATTTGTGGCCGTGAGGACTAGTTTTTCCTTTTGAGCAGCTTTAAACCCTCTCCCATTGATGTCATCCACTCAAACTCCCATTATAAACTCAAAAACTGTCAGAAAAAGCATGAAACTTAAAATGTGATAAAGCAGAATCTGTACAAGATATCAAAAAGTTGAATTTAATGTTAAATAGCTGAAAGTCTTGGGACCTGTTGTAGTTGAAGTTGAAGTAGTTGAAGTTCAAAGTGGGAAAGTTTTAGTGGATTTGAACATCGTCCCATTCATTTTAATTGGAAAAATATCCAACAAAACTTTAAATGTTTCGTAAATTATGAGACAAATCACTGAAAGTAATGCCTGAATGTTTTGACGTTTGAATGTAGTTTCTACAACAAACAGTGCCAAAAAAGTAAGCAGCAGAATAATAATAAATGGAATATTTCGACCTGACAACAACATATAGTCAGCAATCCCACCAATTATTATTATTATATGATTTCCTCTCCTCTCCTCTCCTCTCCTCTCCTCATCTGCAGGTGTGATGTCCATGCTGCGTCCTCTGATGTTGGATGTGGTCCCCAGCATCCAGCAGACAGCAGCTTTGGCTCTGGGCCGCCTGGCGGACCACAGCGATGACCTGGCGGAGGCTGTGGTTAAGGAAGACATCCTTCCCCAGCTGGTCAACTCACTGGCCTCACAGAACGTCAGTAGCTATCTCACCCTTATACCTTGGACATGCACTGACTGCTAATTTGTTGCTCCTGGATATCTGGGGCTGGTGGCAGCTTGTCTCCACCTTGAGGAGGCTGGTGATAGAGAAGGAAGAGAGGGACAGACAGAGGCTGTCACCCTGCGGGGACTCAGGGTCAACCTCCTGAATGTGAGAGTGTGTTTTGGGCTAACTTGGCAGTTCGCTTGGGGGCTACTTCAAAACCTAAGAGCCCTTTACCATGAGTGCAACCAGGCCTTTGTTTTCTTTCTCTTTCTCTCTCTCAGCCCACTCAGAGGCTCAGAATGGAGGGAGACAAGGTTTAGTTCTTGTTATTAATGGGGCATTGCAGTGTCATATAATAATCTGCAAATCTGATAAGAATTCAGTGTTTGCTTCAGAATTTACTTCAGAAAGAAATGAATATATGTTTTATTTGTAGAGTTTCTAGAGAGTTTTTTATAGTACATGAATAATTATACCATATATGAATATTTTCAATACTTATGATTTATATTTTACATTTAAAAGCAATTACTCTTCACACACACAGTATTATGTGGGTTCTATGAGACCTTAAACAACAAGAGATTAAAGAAAATGTCAACAGAACAAGGTTAAAGAGTCTCAGGGAAACTCTAGAATACAGGGGGTGTTTAAACAATGTAGTTATAAAATGAACTATTAAAGAAATATATAGAATTTTTTTTTTATGCAGACTTATGAGGTTTTTCATTTCATATGAGGTTTTTCATTTATAGAAAAACATAACTGTCCTGTTTCTCATTTCTAATAAAGGTGCAATGTGGGTTAAATCTTAAGTTTGAACTATATGAGGTTTCTGCAGGGCCATGGCAACTGATGTGTGTGCCTGTGTGTGTTTGTGTGCAGAGGTTCTATAAGAAAGCAGCAGCCTTTGTGCTGCGTGCGGTAGCCAAACACTCCCCTGAGCTGTCCCAAGCTGTGGTGGCCTGTGGGGGGGTGGAAGCCCTGGTTCTCTGCCTGGAGGAGTTTGACCCCGGGGTGAAGGAGGCCGCAGCCTGGGCTCTGGGCTTCATCGCACGACACAATGCATGTAAGGAGGACACACTGACATTTTTAGATTTCCATGATTTTTTTCACATGTCCGTTTCTTGGTTCGTCCTTAATTCATGTCTGTGTCTTTTCATGTTTCCCACCCCTTTCCATGATCCATGCAGCATTGTCACAGTCAGTTGTGGATGCAGGCGCAGTCCCCCTGCTGGTGTTGTGTCTTCGGGAGCCTGAGATGGCCCTCAAACGCATCGCAGCCTCCACCCTCAGTGACATCTCCAAACACACACCAGAGCTGGCCCATACTGTGGTGGACACTGGTGCCATCGCACAGCTGGCAGAGATGACCCTCAACCCAGACGCAAAACTCAAGGTAAGCCAGCTCAAAGGAAAGTTTCAATTAGCAGCTGCTGGTTTTACTCAGCTCATGATGTATAATGGCATAAATGAAATAAAATTAGAGCTATTTTTCTTATTTTTCTTTTCTTTTCCCTATAGAATGTTTACAAGCTTTGTAACAATGCTTACCAAATAAAATTAATTAATACCTAAGACATGCATGCTAAATATGTAAATATGTAACTCCAGTGCCTTCTGCTGTTTTGATTATTGAAACCTAAAGCTTTTGAATGACAGGAAGTAAAATACTTTTCTTTTTGCATATAATTTTTCTGTCAAATTAAAGTAGGTTACTGTTATGTTATCACATGATATCAATTAATGATTTAACAGTACACTCTAAAGCAGATTTTTGGAAATATTTCTATTTAAAAAAATAAATCAAAAATAAATTATATATATTATATATAATATACAATATAATATATCTTTGTGGTTTCTATTGGGCTCTGTCTCTTATCTAAATTATGTTATTATGATTTTTTTTCTTTTTGTCCCCTTCATTCACCTTTTAACAAACCTCTTGCCCTTTATGCTTTCTATATGTGATACATTGTGATTTGTGAATTAATCAAAGTTATTTAAAAAATATTTATCTAACATAATTTTCTTTAAAAATACATAGCTGAAAATTTTCTGTCATGAATAAGAAACATTTTACATTACAAACTTAAAAATCTAAAATTACGAAGTGGAAATTACCATTGAACTAACTCAGCAATTTTAAGTAAACATAATGGATTATCAGTGTTATAAAACCTGCCAAGATGGAATAGAGTAACAAAATTGTATTGACATTGTAAGGATCCTGCAAGTGACACAATCACACAGAAGTCAGGTTTCTCTCAGTCTTGGAAAATGAAAATCCTGGAAACATGGTGAAATTTGAGCAAAAAGTGGCAACTAGTCTTGAAGGAAATTCCTTGAAATTTAAAGAAATATTTTGGCAACCAATTAGAATGTTAAATATTGGCATTTATGGCAGATAGATTTTATAACTTAAAAAAAACAATTACATGTTCAATTTAACTAAATTAAAAAGATACAAGTGGAGCTAGCTAAAGTACAAGATGAAAAACTGGGACATTTCAACACATTTGCAGGAAAACATGAAGTTAGTTTATGTTTCAAAAATGTGATTCATGACTTCTGGAAATATTCAGACATGTTTTTGTCTCCATCCAGAGGCAGGTGTTCTCAGCCCTCAGCCAGATCAGTAAGCACTCCGTCAGCCTGGCAGAGATGGTGATAGAGGCTGAGATCTTCCCTGCGGCAGTGGCCTGCCTCAGAGATCCAGATGAGTATGTCAGGAAGAATGTCACTACTCTGATGAGGGAGGTGGTGAAACACACGCCAGAGGTACTGCACACACACGCACACACACACACACACACACAGACACACACACACACACACACACACACACACACAACAATCAGTCGCAGGAAACAAAGTGTCCATGTGTGTTTCCAGCTGTCCCAGGTGATTGTGAACTGTGGTGGCATGGCAGCAGTGATCGATTATCTGGGCGATTGCCATGGAAGCCTGCGGCTGCCAGGGATCATAATGCTGGGATATGTGGCAGCTCACAGTGAGAGTCTTGCCATGGCTGTCATTCTCTCCAAGGTGTGTATGTGTGTGTTTGGTTAATCTCTCTGTCATGTGACAGCTAAAGCCAACCACTAAACCCAGAGACATTCCTTCAGGTCCAGTATCTAGGTCATATTAACCGAACCAGTCCTGTTGTGCTGTGTCCTCCTGTCCTGCAGGGGGTGCCCCAGCTGGCCCTGTGTCTGTCTGAGGAACCTGAACATCACATCAAGGCGGCCTCAGCCTGGTCCATCGGCCAGATAGGGCGTCACACGCCTGAGCATGCGAGGGCCGTGGCCACAGCGAACCTGCTGCCCAAACTGCTGCAACTCTACATGGATGCCAGCAGCTCAGAGGACCTGCAGCTTAAAGTAAGAGCTGCTTTGCACTGAGGCTTTAATGAGACTTTGAACAGCGCTAACGAACTGATTTTTTTTTTTTATCACAACTGAAATCAAGGTGAAACTGCGTTCCCAAAAACAAAACTTTTGGCTAATTGGTTTTTATAAAATTTTATCCCGGGTTGCAAATATTTTATCAGCTCATCGGCATCGGTAATAGAAATGAGCCTTTTCTTGAATTCTTAGTAAACATTTAAAGAGGATAAGAGATATCACAGAGATATTTTCAGCCACAGGTCAGCTGGGATTACGGGAAAAGGGTTTCCATGACTTTTTTTTTTTTTATTATAAACAATACATTTCATTTCTTTCGTGTCCTTTTCTTTTCAGAGTAAGACTGCTCTGAAGAGCGTTCTGCAGAAGTGCACCCACCTGCCTGCTCTGGAGCCCCTCCTCTACGATGCCCCGAGCAACATCCTCAAACATGTCGTGTGCCAGTTCAGCAAAGTGAGCGAGTCCACGATCTGCATTTTCAAATGGAGATAAATGTCAGTTTCTCCCGAATGTTTGCGATTCAGATCATGAAGTCATCTGTGTACACCCTGTTCTCCCATCCTCCCGTCAAAGGTGCTGCCTCATGACAGCAAGGCTCGCCGTTTGTTTGTGACCAGCGGGGGACTGAAGAAGGTGCAAGAGATCGAGGCTGAGCCTGGCTCTCCTCTCCAGGAGTACATCAACGCGATCAACAGCTGTTTCCCTGAAGAGATAGTCAGGTACACACGGGCACGCTACCGCACATCTAAACCCTTGCGTGTGTGTATGTGTTTGTGAGAGAGTGAAACAGTGAGAAACGTAAATAGTAATGTTGGACTGACTCATTAGATAACATGATCATGTAGACTCATGTCAGAGCTGTGCGCTGACTCAGTCTGAACTGTTCACACCTTAACTATCAGCTAAAACTATGACCTATTAACTTCATTCTGTAGCATTTTTCAGGACAACAACATGCTTCAGTTACATAATGATCACAAATAAAATGAACAGCAAAAACAGTTATTATTAATTATTATAATTATATTTAAACTATAATTAGAATCAAGGTTTTATGTGAATAAACTCAGCAGACACAAATAGATAATTTAAATGAAGTTTCTAAAAGGTGGAAAGTAGAAAAGTGAATTCAAAAAGCATAATTTGCAGTATGAAACACAATAGGCCTATAAGGTATTTACATTGTGTGTATGTTTGTGTGTTTGTTTCAGGTACTATTCCCCTGGCTACTCTGAGGTCTTGCTGGAGAGGTTAGAGAACTACCAGCCAGCCTGAATCCAGTTCACAATACACATCCTGTTATTTGAACACATGCAAAACCCTGATAGTAAATTTATGATGTTTTATGTTCTTTTAAGATGTTTTCATCTTTAATATTATACTGAGGCTTTTTCACCTTTAAATGCATGTTGATAGTGACTACAAGTGCAGCTTGCATTAGGCCTGAGTAGCGTTCACACCAGCATCATCACCGTATGTTGTGTAAGAGACTGAAGATAAAATTAAAAAAAAAAAAAAAACCACAGCCCAACCAAGTGTCACTTTTAAATGCTTTCCCACACTTTAAGTTGAGGTGAAGAACTTTATTCTCACATTCAAACAACTTCTGCACTTTCACAACCAGTGTGACATTTCGTTCTATTATTCTCTTATGCCCACTATAGAGAGGTCAAAGGTCAGGTTCATTGTCAGAGGAGCAACCCTAGAGGTGGTAGGGAATTAGTATGTTCGAAGACACTTCAGCAGGTTGCTGACACATGGATTTGAGTCTCCTTGTTTTAGACCAGCTCCCCTCACAGAGACATATCTGGATCATACACATCGTTTTTCATCGCAGGGTGACTGCTGCGTGTTCTCCTGGTGTTTCACGTCGCAAAACCGAACACTCTTGTATAAAATGTTTTTAAAACAACATATACAAACAAACAAAAAAACAAAAATAAAATATGCCATAGATTAAACGTGAGATAATGAATCGCTTTCCGTCTCTGCTGTGGTTTGTAGGGGTCAGACTGCCCCCTGGCGGCTGTGACCTCTCACTGTGGCTCAGCTGTGTGCGTGTGTGCGTGTTGTGTGTATTTGTGTGTGTGTGTGTGTGTGAGTGTGTGTGTGTGAGTGTGAAGCAGCTGCAGCGCACGTGGCCAGCCGCTCTTTGTTTGTTGTCTCCGCTTGTTCCTCACATCTTACTGACGGTGCGAATAAGCCTCCGCCTCTCACCCGCAGCAGCGGAGACGTGAACACGCAGCTGCCGCCAAACCCCTCCTCTCCAAAAACCTGATTTTATTTCCATATAGGAACAATCCCTGTCTCTTACAGTCCGTGGTGTGCATCATCTTGAAATGCTGTTTTCTTCATAGTAAATGTCACAAGTCTCAGAGAAGCAGGGCGGCTGTCCGTTCTAAAAAAAAATAAAAAAATAAAACGGAGCTCATATCTGGCCTATTTATTCCCGCGTTTATTGTGGTAGAGAACAAAAATTCACAGGCTGCATTGAATGTTTAACATATAAACAAAGCAACATGATCGAAAACAACCTAGCCTGTGTATTTCTCCTTATTTCACTCTGTAGGATACAGCCGTGCTACCTCATACAGCCCGCTGCAGAAACAAGAGTCTTTTTTTGTCTCCTATCACTTTATTCTTTATTCTAATGTGCTGATGTTGATGTAGAGTGGAAACCTGCGAACATTTCGTTAAAATGAAAATATTTTAAACAGCACACACTCATTTGTGAGGCATTAGACACTAACAAATATAGGCCTAATGGAAATGAGTTATTGGGATGAATCCAAATACTTTTAAATGTGTAAGAAATAATCTACTCAGCAACTCAGACTTAGGTTGAAGTGCTTCAGGGTATTTTTCACTCCAGGAAATAAATCAAATCTTTTTAATTTTATTTATTTTTTGGAATCGGTGAGTGACAGGCAGGAAACGGTGTCGTGCTCACTGTAACAGTAAACCTTTTGTTCGAAATTAGAAAATCAAATAAAACACTGAATGAATATTTCTGAGTACTAATAACAAACACTGTCATAAATAAATATGTCGTCATGGTAATAAAGTCTAAATATGGATGATATGTTGCGTGCGTTGGACAGTAACAGTTGGGTGTTCAGTCTCCTCAACGACAAAGACGCAGAACAAAAAGAAAAGACTTTGACAGTGGTCAGTTTTCCATTTGCAGACTATTTCTTCTTGTATTTGAAACGAGTTGTGTGTTTGGGTCACACGTGCAAACAGCGCTTTAATCACGCCCATTCATGAAATCACACTAACCTGTTAAGATAAAGCTGTCGTGTGCAGTGTGATTTGATTTTACCCTGCGCCATATTTATCGGATTGTAATTACGATCTTATACTTTTACCACTTTAACTTTCATTGTCATTTGTTTCATGCATGTCCAAATCAGAATTCTTCTCACTTTTTTGAATACAGATAATGTATGCGCGTTTTGATCTTATTCTACGTAATCATTAGCCAAATTCATGAATACTAAACAAAATAAATACGTTTTAAAAAAATCACCTTAACATTCATCGCTATTAAATCTAATTATTTGCAACATATCAATAACTTACACATTGACAAATTTATATCCTCAACTATCATTTATATATATTGATAAATTACATTAAATCAGCAACAACTGGGATGAGATGGATTGATGCACGAAGTTAATAACCCCAAGAAGTAAGGTCTGTTTTGTTTTTTTAAACAAACAAAGATATTAAAGCAAAAGAATGATTAAATGGTGTCATTTAAACTCTGCAAAGCTCACGGAAAAGTAGTTTTCTTTTTCCTCTTTCTTTGTAGAAACTGTTGAATAGATCATCTCAAACAGTTATTATATAAAGTAGAAAGAAAATGAAACAATGAAAAAATAAATATGGAACCTGGTATTTTAAACAACAAAGAACAAACCATCAGAGGTAAACTTTGAGTTAAGCAGAACAAGTGCTTTAATTGGTTTGAGTGAACGCTTATGGAATGGAGTGTATTATTATCATCATCATCATTAAATGTGAAGAACAATAAACATACAACATCATTTTGGCCTTTCTGCCACTGAAAGGGAACTCTCACCAACCATTGTCAGACAGCAATGAACAAACACACACACTCACATACACACACAATGATGCTTTAACCAAATGCTTAAGTCTTTTAGAAGGAGTCTAAAAGTACTTGGGGCTGTTGTGAGGCCAAAGCACATTCTGCAGGGAAGAGTTTTCCTGGCCTGGCGTGTGTTGACTTGACTTCTGCATGCAAATTCACTAGGTTCAACTATTTTTGAGCACGTCAAACAGCTATTTTTTGTCCAAAGATTATTTGAATTTCAATTTTATAGCCAAAAGGAAATTTCACCAACTCTGCAAGATCTTGCCTGGCCTCCAGACATTTGCGTTTGTAATTTAATTTTCCCTTAACACTTGATAAACCACATGAACACAGGGCCGTTTCCCACAACTTTGGACATGTTCACATATGAGCGATGCACATCTCGCTCCATCTCCAGGTAAGAAAAAAAAACCCCAAATAAAAACAAATTCAGTTCAGACACATTACACGATACACAATGTTCTTCAAGCTCATGTGGGGTAGTTCTGACTGCTGGAAGATGCTTTTGGCAAGTTAACGCTGGCAGCAGGTTGACTGTTGGTTGGGGTTATTCATGAGAGAAGTCATGAAAGCGAGGACTTATTCATTTCAAGGTACAGCAGCAGGCCGCGTGTTATTATTGTCTTTAATTTGCATCTGTTAAAAGTCTGGCATTGCCTTCCTTATATGATATCCAGAGTTATTATTCCAAAAACAAAACAGAAAAAAAACCCCCACTCTCCCAGCATGCACTGCTCTGTTTTTCGACGTTTGCTAATGTTGGACTACAGCAAGCTTCAAGGGCCAAACAGAGCAAAGCAGACTAGAAGTTGAGTGTGTTCCCTCATTCTGTTTTCCTTTTGACACAACCTATTTACATTAATAACAAAACAGCCCATTTATAGTGAAAGAACACAGAAATATCAACTAACTGCTGACTCAGGATGAACTATCAGCTCATAATCTCCCCGATAAACAGGTGATCTGGGTTACACCAAAAAGATGGAGGGAAGGAAGGAAGAGAACATTAACCAGTTTCAGAAATGAATGGGAGTTTTACTTTATAGCTAAGTGAAATCTTGGACAAAAACAACTTTAAAACATCACATTCCTGAAATGTGACTGCATCTGTGGTTTATGGGTAAATGTGATGAAGATGCTGACAGACTCCTGAGGTGGAGGGGAAGCCGTCAGTTAGCGAGGACGAGCGTGACAAATCACAATCACAACACACATACTCCACAATGCACTTCCACACACAAACGTTCTTTATAAAGGCAGGACCAGCGCGACTGAAGAGGGGATAAATATCAGCGGACACCAACTCCAGTCCGAGGAGAGGGATAAGGATGCCTGTACACACTGAATAATCAGAATGGTGGATCTGAATGTACAGAACTGAAACCGATCCAGCATCTTCAAATTTAAGACAGCTATTCACTTTTTTTTTTGTCAGTTAAAAACACAATCATTAGAAAGGTTTTGTTTAACTGACTGAATAACATGAACAAATCTAAACACAGAGGGGTGCTGGAGTTGAAGAAGGTTGAGCAGGGCGGTTAGAAATAAAGTTGGAAACAATGCATGTCAAAGTAAACACCCTATTATTAAAATAACCTTTTACCTTTGTTTTAAAAAAAGATTACAAAATATAAAATTAAATAATTTTGGAGTATAAAGGCACACATCTTGCACAGTGTATACAATGAAGAACAGTTATTTAAAGCATGGTAGGGAGTATTTTACGCTGAACAGCTCACAAATGTGGTTAAAGTGGAGGGACACAAAGAGAACCTGAACAGCCAGCAACACAGACTATAGAGGGCGAAGGAAACTTAGTCCTGTGACATGCAATTTTTTTATGACTTTTTTTTTTTTTTTTAAGTACATATATATATATATACTAAGCATTGTATCAATTCAAGCAGTATCATTCTTCATTTACCACAGCACCATCATTCATTCCCATGGGTGGCTCCTTTTTAAATACAACTATATTTCATGACTAAAATCCAATGTAAAAATATAAATGTGAATATAATCTATGATATCTAAACAAACATATTGTGATGGAAGCTTTTTGCATGGGTAAGAATAGTCAAGTAGGACGACTTTACTTGTTTTAGTTGGTTATCCAGAGAACGTCACACGCACAACAACTTTTCTCACTTACATACATGTATATTGCATTTCCCTTATTAAGACCATGTCAACTAATTGGGATCATGTTCGTAACATTTGGTTCCTTTCCTCTTGTGCAAAATATACAAAAAAAAAACAAAACAAAAACAAAACTCCAACAGAAACAAAAAATTATTACCACGTCAATTCAGAAAACCGCCAAATTCGAACACAGATAAACCACCTTTAAAAATGTCAACAATAATAACACAACAATGAATAACAGACTCACAGCTGAGGTTAGAGAAGAGAACAATGCTGTAGGTGTAAATGACTGAACAACATGTATCTTTACATCTTCAGCTTCTCTTTCCAACCTCCCTCCTCCCTGCCCCCCCTCCCTCCCCCCCTATACAACTTTTGAACACTGACACACACACCGTTCAATATCACTGGGTGTGTGCTGGTACGATGCTGGAGGTAAAGCGTCTTCTGTTTTGCCCTGAACGCACAAGCACAGTCACTCTGTTGCCTGGTCCCAAAGCCCACCACGACATTACTACAGAGCACTTCTATAAGGATCGGAAAGGTGAGTTCACAGAAGCCCTGTAAACAGAACTCGTCTCAAGTTCCCTGTTTAACATTGCAGTAAATTCTTCCCAAACACTCCCTGTAAGTGGTACCCATAGATGAAAATTGATTGAGGAGACAGGATTTGAGATCAGGCTTCTGAGATTCAATTCTAAGAGAGCTGAGTTCCTTTTCCTCTTTGTTGCAGCACATGTAACAGAACAAGAGCTCCTAACCTCGAACAACAAATAAAAGTGCAACATTTTTTTCTATTTTATTCATAAGGTGCTGATAGCAACAGAAAGTTAAGGGCTGCTGATGTTTCAATCTGACACCCTATACGAAGATATAACAAGGAGCGACTTACTCTTGATCGCTATAGCCACAAAAGACTTCTGGGTCATTTCCTGTTACAGGAACAGAAACCATGACTAACTAACAATGCCCAATATATTCAAAGTGAATGCAAGAAAATGACACTAGAGAGAAGCTGTTCACTCGAATCCCTCTTCTTCTCCTCATTTTAAGGTACATATCCTTACCTCAGTCGTTCTTAATCACTGTACATCACAACAAAGCAAAAGGGACAAAGCACTTAGAGACACTGAAGTGCAACTAGTGCTGAATACAAGCATTACAATTTATTGCAAAAAGTGAATTCATCTCAGCTAATGAGAAGTGTTGGTTTGAATGAGTGGAGGATAACCCAGAAGCTAAATTCATTAACTGTACACGAAGGAACGGGAGGGGAACGCGAGGTCTTTAAAGGGTGGGTGATGGAGGAGGAACCAAAACAGGAAGATTTGTTTGGCTGAGTACTTGTATAGCATTTGGTAGGGGTCTGGCTGTTGGCCTATTGGAAGACTGCTCCCTACTTCCTGAAATGAAGCAATTGCATTGGGCGAGGCTCAACATAAACTTCCTCTTTACATCTCACTCAAGCCTTGCTTTGCAGGAGGGACCTTGTGCTGTAATCTGATCTCTGCATTCCCCTTGGCCTCACACTATACCACTTCATACCCTCCCCAGCCTCCCCCCGAGCCTCATAAGGGAAAGACAAATACAAACATTAAAATAAAGAAATGCTGGATGTTATGTTAGAGGCAATAAAAAAAAGCCATAGTCCCACATAAACAACCATGCAGACAAAACAAAATTATATTAAAAAAAATGTAATGACTAGAACACTTGCTTTCAACACCCTTATCATCCAAAGTATCACATGAACAAAACTCAACAGAGGAGAGGTTAAATGTAAACGAATGATGTTTTTTTTTTTTTTAGCTGCAGAGCGTGGCACCCCACTGAAAGAGAGAGAAAAAAACAGGGAGGAATGAGGAAAATGGATGAGGGAGAGTGATACAAAGCCATCACAGCACCTTATTAATTCAGCCTCTCGATGGTTTGTCTCTCCGTCCCTTTTCTTCTCCGCCCTACTCCCCACTTGCCCTCCCTTTCCCATGTGCCTCCGTGCCCCCTGTTACTCCTGGAGGCTATGACAGGATAGTGGTGATGAAATCATAAAACCTCTTAGAGTACTGCTCTGGGTTCACTGTGGAGATCTCCGCTCCAGCCTGCAGAGGGACACAGAGACAGATGACATTCACTGCATATAGTATATTTGTCTATAGTGTGTCATTATTTGACAGAAATAATTCTTGTATGCAACTACACACCCCATGTTTGACAGTCTTGGCGGCATGGGCAGCTTTCTTCTTGGCATCATAATGCTGCAGGATGTCTATGACAGCCATGAAGTAAACTTCCTTCCTGGGAGCACCTGAAGTTTAAAACAAACGCACCATAAATGAGAATCTATATATCTGCACAGCAATGCCAAGAAAGAAAATCAGCCACTGCTCAATATGACAAACAAAATCCTTGAGAGACTTTTTGACTGCAGTAGGCCTGACAACTAGAATGAAAACAACACCCAGTAGGGGGAGCTCTCAGTACTGTATTTATTATTTTTTATATAACTGTTAAATACAACCCTCACACAGCAGGGGTAATGTATTTAACATTGTGCCATAAGCCTGAAAAGCACATGCACTTGGCTACTCACTCTCATTGCTTTTGATGGCATAGACATCGATGGCAGGATCGAACTCTCCAGGTGACAGAGGCTTGGTGCTGTCCAAGGTGTTGCTGGGGCTGTCGGGGGGCGTCCCAATGCCCCCTCCGTCACTCTCCCCCTCCTCCTCAGCCTCATTGTCCTCGCTCTCCACCTCCTCCTGCTCAGATCGCTCCACATCGTGGATCCCCACCAGCAGACTGTAGTCCATGAGCTTCAGCTGGGCCAGGAACTGAGGACGATGGAAGAAGATAGGCGAGCACAGGAAATAAAAGCATGTGTGAAGATGGGAGGGGAATAGATAGCAAAGAGTAGAATGGAGGGAAAGTTGAAAGAGTGGAGCCAGAGAAGGAGGAAATGCATTAAGCATGACAGAAAGAGATTACACTGTGGGATGGGTGGGCTTTATAACTAGACATCCTGCCTCAAAATATTTATTTACATATTTTATACATATATTTATTTACAAGATACATCTTGCTACAATAAATACATTCAAAGCAATTGACAACATAAGTTGCCAAGCTAAGTAAATCTACCTGAACATTTTGATGATGTTCACACTGAGCTATCAGAAAACCATATTTTCAATCATATCTAATTGTGAACACATACCTCCACATCTTTCCTAAGTTTCTCCAGGAACATTTTCTTGTTCTCCTCGTTGATGTAGATCTTCTGCCCATCATTGATGAAGTCATTGTCCTTGTAGGTGGGCAGCTCCTTGGCCTGCCCATTAGTATTGGAGATTAGCGACCAAATGAAAAACAGTCAAAACCACAACACTAAGCTGTTCAAACCTGAGAAGCATGGTAGACCTGGGCAAAAATGTGTCAGAATTCTGGTGCTTAAATCAAGTGATTTTAACAAATATCAGTTCATCCAATCGCACAGTTTGAATCCTTAAATACATTTCAATATCGGTTGAGCTATTTGACAAAATGGTCAAAAACTGAATAGGAAGAAAAGATTTACGAAAAGCAGTAACACTAGCATCAGCGTTCTTCATCCTTTTTTCCCCAGAATAAACATTAACATTTTAACATACTGTATGTGTTATTCAACAGTACTATAAGATAGCATATTGCAATCTTGTTCAACTGTAAAAATCGGGGGGTATTTCAAAATGCATGATGACAAAGATTAATCCTGATCCTAGAAATGAGTCATGTCAACATTGTGTTTAAATGTATCTTCCTGACGAGACAATCCTGCATGTTGAAATACCCTACTGACATAATGAGGCTCTGAGCCTGTGGTTTGTTAGATAAGCCTGTCTGATTCAGCCAAATACAACATATATTACTGGTAAAATGAGTTGGCCAACAAAGTACAGGCAGTCTGTCCAAACCAAGGCTGACCTCTTTTCAAGCTAAATGATTTGACTGTATAAAACAGTACATGCAGCATGCTGACAGCAGGGCACAGATCCATCCGATGCACTGATTTACATATTTTCCTTATTGTTTATAGCGAACTATATTCACTTCTCAGCACCGTGAAACACAGGGCACTCAGTATTTTTGTGACACAGGTTTGGACATTTTTGCATTAAAAATGCATCTGGTAGATCCATACACTGTCTGAAAAAAAAAAGTTGTTGTTGGACGTCCAACTCAAAGCCATGAAACATCCTTATTAGCACTGGGCTGGACACCGAAAAGCATCCATTTTTATCAGTTCAATCAAATCAATAGAGTACATTCTTCCTTAGACAATTTATACAAACCTTGATCATCTTAGATGCTTTTCGGAAACCAGACTGTGGTTTGCGGCTAATATAAACTATGTCTTATTGCTCTGTAAAGCCAGCTTTCTGACGGATTCCCACTATTCAGCCTACAACCAGAATGTAGCAGTTTCCTATTTAAATGTCTATCTACTGGGATTAACGGTCTCCTAAACCAGGCTGCAGAACTGCCAGCAGTCTGTAGGGGGAAGAGGTGTTATGTGAGTGGGAAAGAGCCTAGTTCTGAGTCACTGAGAAAAAAAAGAGAGCAGGAAATGAGGTAACAGGGCAGCAGCAGCAGTTTAGCTACTACAGTGTTTCTATGGTAGCAGGAGAAGAGCAGCAACACATAACAGCACTTGATAGCACTAGAATGAGCTTGGACAGCACACACTGACACACATACAGTACATACACAGAATACACCTTTACACATATGAACACATATGAATACATCTCACGAAATGGGACATTTGAGCATATATATATACAGACATGGACCTCCAATTTGCAATAAATATGGGATGAACAACTTGCTAGACTGAATATAGATGTGACATAAAAAAGTAAATGGAGGACGCAACGTAAGGCTGACCCCAAAGAGTGAACATGACCTGAAAGCATTGTACAGGCCTGTCACCTAAACTGACAGCTCAGCTCGCACATTCATCCATCTTTCTCCAAATCCATTTTCAACTGTCTTTCATTTCCACGCAATTGTCATTCTAACTGGTTCACTGCATCTTACACTTTCTTCCAGTCATGCATAGGATTCCACTTGTTGGCCTGTTGCTGATTTTCTCTATTACAATGACTGAGATGAAATGCGTCTGACTCTTGAGTGGTACACTACATTTAGGTAGAAGAACAGAAATACATATTAGAGGTAGGAAGAAAGAGCGGGTTGTGGATGAGCCTTACAAAGCTGTGTGACTGGGGAATTCCTGCCCAGGTTTAAAAAGCAAGTCTCATTTCTTTCCTTTTATTTCTTGTATCTCATCTGCTGGTTGGAAAATGGTTCTGGGCCTTTGACAATGTTGATATCTTTTTGTCTCAGAGCAACAAAGCTGTGCCTCTCTGTAGGATTTGTTGTATGAGAACATTGGGTTGTTCCTAGACCGTTGTATCCAGTTACTGTATGTTCCTACTGATGCTGTCAGATGCAGATTAACGTTCACCATCAGGTCCGTTAAAACTTTTGTGGAATACTTTGATCACTTGCAAATCAAATCAGCAGATTCATATCAACCACGTCGACATGCAAGGCATATGAAGCAAGCACTTCATGTGTTTATTTGAACAGTTAAATGTGAGCACACCAGTCTAAGCTGTGTAGCAAATTGCTCTTTAAAACAAAACGTTTATGGCGAATGTAAACTAAGCATAAACAATAAATCAAATGTGCTTCAAGTAGTTTGAACCTAAATGCGTTCGTCAAATGTTGCATTAAAGCCAGGATATCTAAAGCCACTGTGTCAAATGCTGGACAACTGTTTTGGGAAACACAGGCAACACTCTGAGGACACAGGGATATGCATTAAGGATGCAAATACGTATCTCTGAAGGCTGTGGATATTCTAAAAACGAAAAAAAACAAAACAAAAAAAAACTAAATTACAGCCCCCCTCCCATCCCCAGCACAAGCCTGACTCATCTCTTAGACTAGCTTTTAACTAATGTCCTAAGGCACCTGCTCATCCACTTACAAAACAAAGTGCAGTAGGGTGCAGGACATGGAGCCAGGAAATCATTTCTGCACTATATTGCTCTTAAGGGTTCTCTTCAACACAGACAATTATTAAATGTTGCTTTGAACTTTTCAGTAACTATTCTTCACTGGTTTAGAGGACAAATCATAATGTGAACTTTATGTCCTTATTACTGCTCTAGTTAGCACAGGTTGGTTAATGTCATTTGCTTATGAATTTGCACTATAGAACATTTTGATTTTCTGTAACTCGCTAGATAGTTTGAGTTTTATCCAACAAGAAATTCTCTCTCTGACATTAATAATCTCTAAGTATATATTTTCTCTTTTCATCTCTGGCTCCTGATTGTTTTTTTTGTTTTTTTTTGTGTCCCTCCCATCAATGCTGCGGGCCTTACTCTTCCACTTCTTGCTCTCCAGTGTTTCGGATACATGTAGGTTCCGTTGAGTGAATGGTGGGAACAAAAATGAACCGTCTGGCAAACTAAAACTGAACTTGCTGACAAGTTGAGCAAAAGGTGGTTGCAAATGGATGAAAATTGTGAAAAATATGGCCTTGAAATAACTGTGTATCAGCCTGGAGAAGACGAGGAAACGAAAATGCTCGGCCGTACAAAAAATAACAATAAAATAAGATTGGTTTAATAGATCATGCCTGGTATATGAGCCCTGGTTCTCTTACATCTCTTACGTGTTTCATGGCGCAGTAAAAGCGCGTGGCAATCCGCAGTGTTTGCAGCCTTTGCTGAACGTTACCAGATTTGGGCCGCGGGGGCACATCCTCTGGTGGGGGCGGCTGCTAGAAAAGGGGGAGCGAGGGAGGGACGGTGGGGGAGAGGAGAGGAGAGAAGAAAGGAGAGAGGAAGGGAGGAAGGAAGTTGGAAGTAAAGGCAAAGTGTTTAAAATGTAACAGAACACAATTGTTTGTTTCAAATTGGTAGAGGGTTGGAAAGGGCATCAACGCGAAAGATCCATATGACCAGTCTAGATGTTTAGAATATTAGATAACTTTACAATGGCTGGGTAAAGAAAGTGTAGATCCGTGTCCAACAGGTTTTTTCGCTGACAATCTAATTTTTGGAATTACACTATTTTTATTATGTATTAAATCTTAAATTAAATTGTAGACTCTGTCCCGAAAAATTATGACTAACTTTCTTAATTTAAGAATTGTATTGTATAAATGACTCTGGTCTGGCTACACTGGCATTAAGACTGGTAGAGAAAGGAAACAGCCTGGTATTGCTACGGGATACTAGGAGCTAGAAGCAGAGAAAGGAAACAACTTTAAACTAAATTGCATTCTATGAACCTGTGTTCTGCCAAACATCTATTCAGGTGTGGTGCTATTTCTATGAGCTTACAATACTGGATAAGGGACTACTAATAAAATATCAAGGCACTTCACACTCAGTCATACCGACACATTAAAGCCATGTGCCCCCAACGGAGATACCAGCCGGCGCTGGTGTGAGGAGAGAGAGAGGAGAATAAACAAAAACAGCAAACAACTGTAGCAGAACGCTACTGTGCAGAGACCTAGAGGAGACACAGGAGATATTCCACAAACCAAGGACCAGTAGCTATTTAATAACATACAAACACAACCTCTATATTTTCCAGGTCACAAAAAAAAAAAAAAAAACGCGAACGCAAAATCTCCTACACCAGTGTTTGCTAAATCGTGGGTCAGTGTCCTAAAAGGGTCATAGACAGGTTTTTGTGCTTAACCACAAAATTAAATAAGTATGATTTGATGGGGTCAGTAAGGCCAAATTTGCCTAGTTTGGGTTCTAGTTAAGATAATTTGAGGAGAAAAAAAAACTAAATTGTAAACCCACTGATCATTTGCTGGGTAAAATGCTGTACAATAAGATATGTCAGAAAGCCAATTGTTGTTTCATTACCAAAACCCTGGGACAGCAGCTACAAGAACTGCAAAATGTATTTTATAAAAAAAAACCCCAAAAAAACATGTATGTGGGTAGAAAAAAAACAACTTCACAATGTGCAACAGAATGGGGGCTGGTGTTCATACACATTGGAATGTGTTAGAAATAATGTAACTTCAAAAAAGATGCAGAACAACATTATATACCATGCAGATGCATGCATGAAAGGGAGACGGTCATGCAGTCAGGAGAGAATCCTGCCATGCTTGTTGTTTGTGTGTGTGAAGCAATTTATATCTATACATATATATCTCTATATACATATATACATATATATATCTATATAGATATATATACACACATACATACATATATATATACATATATATATATATATATATATATATACACATATATATGCACACACACATACACACACACACACATACACACACTGTACCTTCTGAACAAAAGACATTATTTTCCTCTTTCATTTGGCTTGATTTACCTTCTTCTTTAATTTATTGGCCAGCTGCAGTGTGTGTGAGTGTTCACACTAATGTGAACTAGTGATAGTGTAATGTTCACATACTGAACTTTAACAACAGAGGAATTCTTTGAAGGAAAAACATTTATTCACAGCCACCAAGCACTTTTAGAGAGTAACTGCGGGTTAAATTAAGCATGTCTGTATGTACAAAGGTGTTTCATGTGGAGATACCAGGATGTGTTGTCAGATCCTTGTCTATAGTGTCTGAGCCTTGTTGTGTCTCTGAGACCTGTTGTAAGTCCGGTGTGCACATTCAGAAGTATTTGTGTGATCATCTACTCTATTTTGCATTCTGCATGCATGTAAAAACAGTAAAAGGCTTCAGCTATGGTGGCAATTACTGTGTCATGCTTATTAGCTGCATTTCATTAATGGTAAAACAACCACAGAAATTTCCATAAACTAACAGCAACAACTTGTATTAATTTGTGAGTTGAAGAGTAGGTCGTAGTTAGTGTTGGAAAATCTTCATTCATGTTAGCTTGGGAAATTCATCATGTTGCTTCTAAACATCTGTTGCTAGACTGTAAATGGTGTTTCACAAACAGCTAAGCTGCAGACAGGTCACGCAGTAGGTTCATGTGTGTTAAATCCTCAGCTGCTTTGTTCTTCCACTCATCTGTTTTAACCCCAATAATGTTTTGTTTCTTCTTCCATTTACAGTAGGCTATATTTAGTTTGGGGATTCCCTAAAGTCTGCCATGCCTGATTGCATGGTGCCACATGATTAAGCCCCTGTAAAACCTGGTGGAAAGTTCAAACCCCTCTGGGTCGAAACTGTGGAAGTCTCCTATAACTTTTTCAAGGTCAGACAAACCTTTGCAGAATGACATGTGGAGACATGCAATGAAAAAAATAACTTTGGACAGCCATCCCCTTCCAATAATGCAGAGCTAACAGGTCAAAAGAACAGTACTCCGAAGTCACAGCGGATGCTGTCAGCAACTTTCATCACACAAAAAAAGCATTTATCTAATTGTTAGCTGATACAATTTTAACAGGAAGCACAGTGACCCATAAGGTCCTTCACAATTTTAGTGACAATTTATATTTGACAGGTGACTTTGTCCAAGAGCCACAAACTCAAAACAGCCAGTCTCTCACAACAAACAGCAACATTTCCTTTACTGTCAAACACACAAAATCTCTTGCTCATATATACTGCTCTCTCTCTCTCTCTCTCTCTCTCACACTCACACACACAGAGTAACATATATATGTATATAGAAAACACATTAAAGACAGGACTACCCTCAAATGTGAGACAATCTCTGATTGAATAAAACTCTAAACCCAACGCCCCCCACACACACACACACACACACAAACACACACACACACACAACTCTCAATCTTTCACACACAGACAGCAAGCAGGGGAACTGATGGAACAGCAGAAGCGAGGTTAGAAGGGATGAAGCAAATTAAAGAAACACAAAGAGCGTGCAGGGGCTAGAAGGGAATGAGGTGATGAAGTAGGTGCTAACTGAAGGAGATGGATATTTGCTACCGTCATCCCCACCCAAAGGGAATTAAAAACAGACACCAAAATTGTGTTAGTTGGGTCATTTGGTTGATGACAGTACGCCTGGAATTATTTGAAGCTGTGTTGGTCATTGAAACCACTGGAAACACAGTTCTTTTTCTCATTCTCTAAGCGTCCACATGGCTTTTAATGGACATGGAGTTCAAGCAGAATAACTGACTCTGTTTTTTAGAGGCATTACATCAGTGTTTAAATGACATGAAATGAAGTTTCTAAGTTTCATGTTAAGTGTACTTGTAAAACAATGTTCGCCAGTTCCTGAACACTTTTTAATTGCCCTTGTTCCTTACACAAAAATGACATCAGAATTGAGTTGTCAGCGGTGCGCAAGTGCCCATCTGTTCAATCCACACATGACTCCGACTTCCATTGTCACCAGAACCAGCTGTCCTTTCTGCAACATACCTCCTGACATGCTGAAAGGACAGCGGTCTGTTCAACGGCCAAAAATAGTTTTCAAGTTAGCTATGTGAGGAGTAATACAAGAAGAAGAAATGGATATTGTTTATGCTTACTGATTCTTTTGTTTTATTTACTCCACAACATCAAGGAAGTGGGAGAAAGCTTCACTAAGCGCACAACAAAAAAATAAAGAAGTTGTTTGCTTATCGAAATGCAATAATGTACTGTTGGTGTGGATTGATACACCTGTAACGCATCAGTTCTAAGAGACAGATGAGGAGCGAATACCTAAAATATTCCAGAGATGCTTCAAAACATGCTGGAGGTGTGGTTTGTCTTATATCATTTGATTTGCTTGTAAATTTATGACAAGTCTCTGACTGTTGCTGTGTTAGTTTGATGCACCTTTAAATTGTAGCGATCTGATTTTATTCTTTCTTTACAAAATCTGTCATTATTATCATTATTATTGTTATAATCTTAATGTCTGTTTAAAGCATATAGTAAAGGTTAGGAGGTCTGACTGTGCTGAAGTTTAAACTTGTGGTTATGTACTGTACAACAGTGGATCACGGCTCACGATAGGTGTCTGTACCTTCTCCTTGTCGCTGGCCTCCCTTGCCACAGTGGAACCCTAGAAAAAACAAGAAAGGAAATTACTTTCCATAACCCAGTTGTAACTAGAAGCACTGGAAAGTCTTGCTTTAGTCTTTTCCTTACCACCCTTCTTACACTCATTCCTGCAGATACTCATAACACTTGTGCATGCCTGAACACAGAGGCTCAACCAGTAAGGCACGCAAGGTGCAATGGCTTAAAATGGCTTCACTCTGTCCTGAGACAGGTTACCTGTCAGCCTGACACTCTACCCTGTTTTACAACATTTACTAACCAATGGCTAATGTCTATTTTGTTAAACACACAACCAAACCTCATTTGACCAATTATGGGTAAATTCACACATGATTACTTGTACTCAAGCTTTTATAAAACATCTGAACTACAAACAGGCCTTTTTGTGATTTTTGGGAGGAAAAAAACAAAAAAAAAAGTCCAATTTATACTGTTTTGTTTCATGGCCACTGAAAACAGGTTGTTGAAAAAATGAGGAGTAAGGGGAAGGGACTAGAGTAGTGCAACTAAAGACTAGAGTTTCATCACTTCTTCACATATTTGTGCCCTATCTGATAATTATTCCTTTTCTTGCTTCCTTTTTTTTCTTGCTCTGTTCTCCCCTTCTCCCCTTTTACCTTGAGATCATATTTTTTGTAGACAGAAAGGCGGTGGGAGAAGACATTGCGTGTAACAATCATGTAAGTCTCATCTCCATCCACGGTGAGCCGGTACATCCCCAGAAACTGAGGCAGAAGTGTGTTGCCATGGCACTCCACAATGAACTATTAAAAGAGAATGAGGAATATCAATTTATCGCCCTTTTATAGTCATAACAGGCGCTTACTGTCTGCATTAGAAGTGAGACTGTAAGAAATAGAAAAAAGGTTTATAAAACACAGCATAATGATTTAGCATTGTTCTGTGATGAACTCCAAGGTGATAAATAGAGGGCTCTAACCAACTAAAATGGTTGTCCTGGGAAATTACATGAATTTGTAGCTTCACAAAAGTTATTATGGGGCATTTCTGCCTTTATTATAGCTGCAGTGAGAGAGAGACAGGAAAGTTGGGGAGAGAGAAAGGGGATGACATCCAGTAAACAGGCCTTGGGCCAGACTCGAACCCGGGCTGCTGCGTTAAGGACCGATCCTTCATGGTATGTGCTCTACCAGGTGATCCACTGGGGCGCCCTGTAATCCTTACACTTTTTGACCAACCCAAAATCAATAGGTACAGCAAAAGTGGTAAACTTGCATCATTAATGTGGACATTATACTACCGGGCACATAGTGAAAAGTGCTTGACTTGTGTAAAGGGATTAATACTGTCAAATTCTCTTACTGAGGTATTTTTAGTTTATAAAAGACACATGGTTTTAGAAAGCCTACTTCATGGAAGAGTCCAGGCTTGAATTAGTCAATATTACTGCATGATAGGCTGTTATCACCTGATGGTATTTCTTTAGAATGTTATGCATTTCGGCCACATCCTCGCTGCTGATGGTCTTGATAACATAGCGTTTGTCATAAGAAGTGTGGAAGCGGGCCCCGCTCCGTCCCTGGGCCTCGCTGTTCAAGGGAGCACTACGTGTCAGAGAGTTCTGCAAACATACAGAGCAAAGACAAAAAGGAAACAATAACTATGTTTAACAGGATGTACACGCTAAAATATCAGCAGTTTGTCTTCTCTGCTTTTTGACAACCCTTGCTCATCCATTATCAGCAGTTCTCTTGAGAGAACTAAGATCATGTCTTCATTGCTTGTATTTTACGTTCGTCCGTTTCACTAAATACAGAAAATATTGAAAAGACTGAAAAGAGTCAAATCCATATTGGCCTCTCATGTTTAGATAGCTGATGGTGAAATTACATTTTCTCATTTACTTGAATGCTTAACAGAACTACTCTTCCAGTGTATTTAGATGAAGCTCTCAACATAGCATGTCCTGCCTTCTTTGTGTCTGACCAGCTCCCAGTCTCCACTCTAAACATATGGGATTCTGACCCCTACGCCTGCTGCCTGTCCACAGCTACACACAGACACAAACAGCTGCTGCCCAGACTTTGGAGCTCAAAAGTAACATGATCCAACACCCCTGGCTCAATGCCTCATTCTCTAAGAATTCCCAGTGTCCTCTGCCCTTAGTTCCCTCTCCCCTCTTCAACTCTTAGCATCAATTGCTTGAATTGAGTGACAACTAACCATTGAGGTACATGCTAAAACAATTGTTAAGATGTATTTCTTTCTCGTGTTTAAACCCAAAAAATTGTTGCAGTCTTGTGTGTGGAGGTTCCTTAAATCATGAACAAAAAGAAGCCCACCTATAGTCCAGGTCCTGGTGGAACACAGGCTGAAAATGTTTAAGAGGCCCTTTGCCTGAGGCTGGCATAGATGAAAAGCTTTCAAAGTAATCCCAGTGTTTTTGTTTTAGTTGGTCATTTTCCCCATCATGCATTTATTATAATGTGGGGAAAAAGTTTAATCTGTTTGCACTTTAGTTACCCAACCAAAACTTAATTTAATACAGCTAGCACTGCTCATTAAAGCTAATGATTACTGCTGCATCTCATCAAAAGAGCAGCCTTGCAGCTGGTGGTACCCATTGGCTATAATAAGGAATATTACCAGTGTAATTAGAAATAATGCCAATAGGCTGGTTTTAAAGCAAGGTAAAAAAAAAAAAAAAGAACTAACCAATAAAGCTTTTGACCACAATGTGACTAGTGCCTCGTGTAATGAAGTAGTTTAATGTTGAGAATGTTGCAACATCCCTTTGCACTGGCCAGTGTCTTAACACCCCTGACTGCCCACTCACTGCAGCCATCCGAACCCCAATGTAAACATGTGAGAAGGACAGCTGCACTGAGCTGGGACACAATGACCTCCAAATGCTGCCAACTCACTGCCTGCACTGGGAATGGGGATTTACTAGGAAAGAGTGGAAAATAAAGGCAGACATGGAGTGGTCTGAAACAAAAGAGGGAAAGGAAAAAGCGCAATAGAGCAACACTTTCCTAGTTAAGACTGTGATCACATTTGTTTTGGAACAGTTACATGTGTTTGCTTGCAGTACGGGGTGGCTGCGTTTTTTTGGTACTGTATTGCCTGTAAAATTATGTGACTGTCTATAGTAGTTGGCACTCTATTGTGTGGCAATTCACACCAATCAGGTTGTACAAAGATGACAAAAGAAACTAGGCACTTAACCCAGAGGGGTAATAATGTTGCTCGGCTTGTCATTTGTGACACTATCTTGTCATACCAAGAAGTCCTGATCGTCGATGCCAAACCTCTCTCTGAGGTTTCGAAACACCAGAGGGCAGTACTCCTTGAACTTGAAATGGCTGGGCATGTTCTCCCTGTGCATACACACACACACAAACAAATACACAAACACACACACTTATAAAAATCAGACAATACAAATGATATATTTTGATGAGATGCTGTGAGTACTAAAGAATATTTAAAAAAATCTTGAACATAAAATATATTTCATAGTGTCATAAGTTTTGTGAAATACCATGATTATAAAATATACGTAAAAAGACCTTACTTGTTGAAGAGGTGGTTGTCCACTTTGATCTTAGAATAGGCTTTGAAGTCATCTGGCATGAGCATGATGGGAATCTGAACATGGCTTAATTCATTTATCTGGGCAGAAAAACATAGGAATGAAGGAGAGATCAGTGATTTATCTAGGAAGACAGACTAGTCTAAAATATGTCAGTAAAATCACATCACATTAGACATGCTAGAAGTCTGGAATCTAACAGCCTTGGGATACTCAGGGAAAAAATGAATAAATCACTGAGGCAATATAGACAAAACATTGACAAAGATCATAACTGCTGACAAACATAATCTAAAGATCGGTGGGATCAACACTGAAAGGAGAAAGAGAACATTAACTTCATCTGGACAACACAGCATCTGATGTGAAGCTTTGCAACCATTACCCAACACTGCCACTGTGATCAAAATACAAAATACCAGTTTTCTTTTTTAATATTTCCTACAACATGTTACTGGAGCATCTCAAAAATCTCAACACAGGGATTCTGCAAATATCAACCACATGCTATCTGTGTACTTCACAGCTAAACTCATGTAACCTTTTTCACAATGCAATATTATCCAAACCAATAAAGTGCACGGTTCACCATACAGGCACAAAGGTCGACACTCACAGAACTTCCCATGAATGCTCAGATGGCTATATCCTATTTCTGAAAAGACAGTCAGTGTAAGAGCACTTCCCACATGTATGTGGTTAGGGTGTCCATAAAAGGGTGAAGCAGTTGGCCAAGATGACAGTCGGTGCCAACTTCCACCACCTTGCAGCACAAAAGCTACTCACATCATTAATGTAATTTTTTTCTGCCATCTCATAACTGAGTAAAAAGTGGTGCTGCTTTATACAACAATAAAGCAAGTATAACAGGCAAAAAGATATATTTGCACCTGTGTACCCCCCCCCCCCCCAATCAAAGCAATCTGTTATCAGGACTAATTTATGATTCAGGCCAGGAGTTCTGGTCCAGGTCATTACTCAATACCAATCTTCAGCACAGAACACCTTGTGATGTGACCAGTTTATAGATTAGCTTTTCAGGATGATGCAGCCTACAGGGCTGAAGGATAACTATAGGGGAAAGGCAAGTGGAAATGTTGCCAGAACTGCTGAAGTTCTAAAAGAGCAAGACAAGATGCGACATGCGACTGAAAGAAGGAATCATGATTTTGAGTTTTAGGAGAGCTCATGTTTTCAGAATGGCATGTGGCAATGGCATGTGGCATATTTGAATCTTATGTATGATGATAATTAAACTAGATGTTATGGGCTATCAGGTGAGTTAGATTATGAACACTCAAATCATTCTGACTGCACATTTATGGCCACGATTAACATTCAACAAAATGCTAAATTACTTGAGGCTTGAATAAACCTTGTAAAATGAATAAACAGTGGGGCTTCAAACACATAAGGTACATTGCAGGAGTTTCCATTTGGAGCTGACCATGCATCACATTCCTGTAATACATAGACCTGACATTTGTTATGACTCAGGCACAGCTTGATACGCATATGATGGGTGTGTGTGTGTGTGTGCTTACGTATTTATTGTTGGCCCGAGGCAGGGCTGCTGGCAGGTTGCTTGAATCTATTAATAGTCATTCCACCAATCACACTTGTAATCTAGGTGTACAGAATGAAGTCAAATACTCTGATTGATTGTAACATTATCATAAAATGTATGTGTGTCTCTCTCCTGTACAGTCCCAAATGTACTATAAGCTTTGTACATTGCTCACAGCTAGGATTGCCCGGACAAAGAAGAGGTGATGTCATATCACTATTCTAGCTGCTGCCTTAGAAGAGGTAGCCCATATTTTTTTTTTACCACTGGGGATTGTCCATAGCCCTGTAATGCTGTAGAAGTGTTACAGCAGATGGTGCAGAGAATGGCCTCAGCATGACTGACCCATGAAAGCATTTAGCATACTTCAGGTGACCGTTAAGAAGTGTGCTTTTTAACATCGTATGCCTTAAACATGTTAGCCAAGTTGTATTAATTTTTGGTATAACACAAGATACAGCAACAGGATCAACACAAAAATACATCTTCAAAACAAACAAGCTCATTTTGTTTTGTTTGGGACCAATGCCAACATTTTGCATTTAGTAAAGCTTTAAATTGGATATTCACGGTGTTTACAACCAGCATATACCAACCCGAATTATACATTGGTTCAGTCTGGCATATCTGTGTGATGGGAGATTTTCAGCTAACCACTTTTGCCAGCATAAGGGCTACTTGCTGCCAGCTCTTGGGTATTGAGTGTGTTTAATTGTTTGTGCTTTTAAAAGTGAGCCAGTCCAATCTGCTTTACTTGGAGGCTGCCAACAGACAGTTCCTACAGTACAGGATTGATATTATTTTAAACACAACATGCCATCATCTCCACAATGTGATAAAACAGACAATCAATGTTACCAATTTCAAAATTATATCTGTAGTAATTATATATCCCTGCTGCCTTCTCCACTGCTGTCTATCCTGGGTACCACAGCACAAAAACTACATCAATTATGAGAGCGGGCCAGTGGAATAGTGGAAAGGCACTCAACCACTGGGAGAGAGTTTACACCAGAGGCTTTTTGGGGAACTAGTCCCAGATTTCTGACTGAACAGTTCAATCATATGAGTAGAAGTCTTATGAACTATTGAGCAATCCTTAACATTAAAACTCTAGCTTTTTAATACAGTGATTCAGCCACTGACATTTACTAATTTAAGAGGCCATGCGATCAAGTAGGTAATCTTCCAAGGACAACCTATTTTAATAGTAATGCTTAGATTCAGAGAATTGTTTCAATTCTATTTATTATTCAGTGAATAAAATGTGAATAAAAAAAGAACTCTGACCTACTGGCTTGACTGGTCAAGTGTAAAACAAACCTTACTGCTGAGCTCTGCAAAACTTGTCCAATGATGTGCAAAGCTCTGTCTTTGTCCACTGTTACAACTTTTCATTTAACCAGCTCAGCAAACGTGTACTCATTGAGCACAGTATCATTTCAAGGCTGTTTACTTTGGCTATACCACTATACTGCTGTCTTAGTGGAGTTGAGAGTTACAATTCACACTGGATATCTCTGTACTCAAAATATTCTTCAGGATCATTATAGGCTTTCAAGCAATTGAAAGAAATGGGGAAAAAAAGAAATAAAAGGAGGATGAGAACATAGCATTACTGTGCATCAGAAGTAGGATTAACAACAGATGAGAATTTTTAGGAAGGAAACATCTGAGATAAAGACAAGAGAACAAAACATGTCTGAAAAAAGAGAAGAAAGTGTATCTAAAAAGGGAAGAAGGCATGGAAGAAGCATATTTTTTTTTTTAAATATCAAAATGAGGGCATAAGCGAGACAGTGCAAGCAGAGGATCCATGTCCACAGATGCCATATCCTTGTATGTTTAAGTGCCCTGGTGTGACAGGCGCCAACGTCACAGTGATGCTATTGCACAGATGCATTCTGGGTACTCTGTGGGGAGATGTCACCTCATCAACAAAGCTGTGTTTCAAACAAGGGCAGAGACAATGCCAGATCTTACCAAGCACACACACACACACGCGCATGAACGCACACACACAAAAGCACGAACGCGCACGCACACACACACACACACACACACACACACACACACACACACATACACACACACACACGCACAGTGAGGTAACTAGTATACTGAATGTTAATGCACATAAGTCACAGCAACAAAAATTGTTAACACAAATACATGCACATATAAACATGGGGTGGAAATATCTGTTGGATAAAAAGAAATATAATAGGTCCCTAGAGTAGGCCAAGAAAACAATTTGTTTTGATGGCAATTGTTCTCCTGCAATTAAATGCATACTACAGTAAAAACTGTAAAAGAGAGAATGGGAGCCTGTGACAAAATCACTATTTCACCCTATTTCACCCTATTTCCACAAAATGCTTTTGACAGTCATTATTGGTTTGGATAGTAGGCAGAGCTTTGAGTTTTAACATTGTACTACTGTTGCCCTGCGGCTAAAAGTTTTTGCCGGTACCTACACAGAGGTGCAGCTAATCCAGTATATTGACCTGACCATCACTTTGAGCACCTAATCCACATTAAATAACGTGTGTAGCGCTCCTATTTTATCTGCTGAAGCTCTTGTCATGATTTCTATCTTGAGCATAGTTATGCTTTTATGTTTTGTTTAATCATAAGCAGCATATCTGCTTATCTTCCTGGAGCTATCAAACTTGCAGACAAATTTCACACCACCGCTTCCTGTTTGTCTCCATGGTGATGAAGACTGGTTTTCCGGCCCAGAGTGAAGCAAGTGTGTGCTGTTGCTCCGTTGGACAGGAAGTTGGTGAAGAGAGCGTGCTCTGTCAGCAGCATGGCATAGTGTTATCTCTCTGAACAATTACAGATGGATGACTTGCTCTTAGCAGATGACAGCCCACTAATAGTGTTGACAGCACAGAGATTCTAACACCTTTACCACTTGGTACAAAAACCTGGATCCAACAACATAAACTATTGGGTCATTATGCACAAGATATAGAAAGGTGATGAAAATATTAAAGTTGAGAGAAGCCTCACCCAGAGTTGAAAATGAAAGACACAAGACTAATCAGGCATGCCATCAGGATATGCAGCCTGGAGGGAGACATTTGACAATGAACAGGAAATCTATGACTGTCATCTGTTTTTATCTTTTTTAATTTCTGATAACGCAGTTTCTGACTTTGAAGCTACAACTACAATGTGTTCCTCATGTAAAAATCTTACTGTGATGTGGCAATTCTGTCAAGTTCCTCTTGAAATGTATCTCTGTTAGTAAAGGTCAAAGATCATAGTTTTTTCCACCCATTCCAACTGGAGTCCTTCAATAACAAAATCTTCAGACACTACCCAATCCAATCTTTATTTATATGCTATTTTTCCACTACATAATTCAGCTACAGAAACCCCATTTAGACTACAGCAAGCAGAATGTTTTAATAAAATTATTATGATAAATTATTCAGAAAATGTATTCTTCAATTAAAATTATTGTGGCTAAAACAGTAGCTCCAGTCTGCTTTAGATTGCTCC